ACAATTTATTTGAAGGACCAAAGAGAAACAAACGTTTCGAGTTTCCCTTTGTCAGTGCCAAAATGTCGTCAAATTTCATGCTCGCCATGCTGGCGCCAATTCTGAATCTGGATGCTCTATTACAACCTCAAAATGAAGGCGTTAAGCCTGGTGTCACTCAGCAAGCAACGTGACAGACCTACCGTCCTCTTACTGGCGATGCAAGCTTGATGCACGCAGATTTTCTATTTAACCCCGACTTTTCTCTGAAGAGGGGCCCGGTTACGATCTATGTTAGCTTATGGCCTTTTACTTGTTCTGATTGATTTCCTGGCTACAGTCTAGCTAGATATCTATTCTGGTATCCTGACATGGCTGTGTAATTGCTGTACACCTGATCTTGACCAGTCTTGGGCTATTCTCCATTTTGCAGAAGCATGCATATTTTCAGCATATTATACAGAGCAGAGTGCAGTTCAAATAATCACTAAACGAGTCACATGACTAAATAAGATAATACAACATATCCTATTAATTGCATTTTCAGGATGGGACTGTGTGAATAGGGGCCCCGTGAAAGAATACTATTAATTGCTCACATTTATATTCTCTTTCTGAACTTGTTGAAGTGCTTTAGGAGATAACATGTCCCCTCTTTGTCAAGAGCAATCTGCACTTTTAAGAAGTGACAAAGTTGCACCTTCCCAGCATTCAATCAGAGAGTGTGCTTTTCCTGATCGCTTTATACCCCAGCACAATGCACAAGGCAATGCTTCACATAAAAAGTATTGGATTCAATGCTTTATGAGAAACATTGCAGGCACAATGCCTCGATCCTCTTGTATGAGTCCACATAATAATGCCCTGTCTCAATGCGACTCTGCCAAATTGCAATAATGGGAGAGAAATAAAACTGCATATTTTTAGGAGACTTTGGGCTAAGAATGAAATGGTACTAGAATTAGAACTTGTCTTTTTCATGGGCCTGCTCAGGGCTCAAGCCTAGGTAAGCTCCCCCCAAGCCATGCCCCTGATTTAAATTACAGAAATGCATTAGAAATGGTGTATTTTTTCCTGATGAAATCCACAAATAAATCATTTCTGCTTATGGACAGAGAGCAAAATACAGACATATCAATACGAATGGAAAGAGGGATGCTCAGATGGTGTGTATATATGAATATGCATTGATCAGTCACAACATGAAAACCACTTACAGGTGAAGTGAATAACATTGATTACATTGTTACAATGGCACCTGTCAAGGACCGGAATAGATTAAAGGACCACTCTAGGCAGGGCCGGCCTTAGGCAATTAGGCGCCCTGTGCAAAAAGTCTTCACGGCGCCCCCCCCACCTCCCACCAAGTTGCCTGAATACAGTAACACACACAGGCACCGGGGACGTGTGTATCACGAGGCAAACAAGGCATCTGCCTTGAGCGCCACTTTGCAGGGGGCGGCAAAAAAAAGCATCCCTCCAAACCCCCAGGCAGATCCCTTGCTTGCCTCGCATCCTGGGGGGCTCAAGAGCTGACCGGCTGGCCACTTTTGAGCCCCCCCAAGGCTGGCAGCGGGCAGCGAAGGAACATACTCACCTGAGCTCTTCCTGCTCAGCTTCCTCTGCGCCGCTTAATGAAGCCGGGAGCCAGAATATGACGTCAGTCCGGCTCCCGGCATCACTAAGAGCTGCTTACTCAGCCTGTGCGCCCCCTGCCTGCCTGCCCAGCAGCCACACTGGACTGCTGGTAAGAAATCCACTCCAGCTTTCCCAGGGAGGCTGGGTGGATTTAAAATAAATGTAAAAAATATTAGTTTGTGGGTGTTAGTGGAAATGTCTGTGTGTGTGTCTGTGAGTGTTTATTTTGAAGTGAATGTGTGTGTGTGTGTGTCTGTAAGTGTGTAATTGTGTGTGTCTGTGAGTGAATGTGTGTGTTGGTCAGTGAGTGTATATGTGTCAGTCAGTGAGTGTGTATGTGTCAGTCAGTGAGTGTGTATGTGTCATCAGTGAGTGTGTGTCGGTCAGTGAGTGTGTAAGTCAGTGAGTGTGTATGTGTCGGTCAGTGAGTGTGTGTCGGTCAGTGAGTGTGTGTCGGTCAGTGAGTGTGTGTCGGTCAGTGAGTGTGTGTCAGTCAGTGTGTATGTGTCGGTCAGTGGAGTCGTGCATCTTTCAGTGAGTGCTTGCGTCTGTCAGTGAGAGTGTGCATCTGTCAGTGTGTGTCCAAGTAATGGTGTATGTGTGTATGTCATTGTTTGTCAGTGTATATGAGAGTGTGTGTCTGTCAGTGAGTGTGCGTCTGTCAGTGAGTGAGCGTCTGTCAGTCAAAGTGCGGCCTTGACAGGAAGGGGTGGGGGAAATTTAAACTCGGTTACAGGCATGTACACACACTCAGTTAAAGGCAGTCACACATACAGGCACAGGCACAAACAATGGCACAGCGACACACACAGACAGACAGTCACATAGGCAGTCACACACACAGACAGACACACAGTAACACACACATAGACAGTTATACACACACAGGCAGGCAGTCACACAGATAGAAAGTCACACAGGCAGGCAGTCACACACAGACAGATAGTTACAGACAGACACACACAGGCAGGCAGTCACATACAGGCAGTCACACACACAGGCAGTCACACACACAGACAGACAGTCACACACACAGACAGTCACACACAGAGACAGTCACACACAGAGACAGTCACACACAGAGACAGTCACACACACACACACAGAGACAGACAGTCACACACACACACACACAAGGACAGGCAGTCACACAGACAGTCACACACACACACAGACAGTCACACGCACACAGGCAGGCAGTCACACAGACAGTCACACACACACACAGACAGTCACACAAACAGGCAAACAGTCACACACACACACTTACCTCTTTCCTGTGGATGCAGTTGGCTGATGGGGAAGCATCTTTCCCTCTTCCTGTACAGCAGGGGCTTCGGGAGGTATTAGCCCCGTCTCCGCCTCTCGATAAGCCCCGCCTCCGCCGCTCGGTAAACCCCGCCCCCTCTGCCGCGATTCTTTTTTTTTTTTTTTTTTTAAATAGACCCGGGTGGAGAATAATTAATCCTCCAGCCAGGTACCTCTTTTAGCTCCCCTGCACTCCGGCCATGAGTGAGCTGTGTCGGCCACAGGGCGCCCCCTGTTCCATGGCGCCCTGTGCGGTCGCACAGCTCGCACACCCCTAAGGCCGGCCCTGACTCTAGGCACCCAGACCACTTCAGCTTAATGAAGTGGTCTGGGTGCCTGGTCCAGCTAGGGTTAACCCATTTTTAAATAAACATAGCAGTTTCAGAGAAACTGCTATGTTTATTAATGGGTTAAGCCTTCCCCCTATTCCCTCTAGTGGCTGTCTCATTGACAGCCACTAGAGGCGCTTGCGTGCTTCTCACTGTGATTTTCACAGTGAAAGCACGCAAGCGTCCATAGGAAAGCATTGTAAATGCTTTCCTATGCGACGGGCTGAATGCGCGCGCAGCTCTTGCCGCGCGTGCGCATTCAGCCCAGGAGGAGGAACGGAGGAGGAGAGAAGGAGGAGAGCTCTCCGCCCAGCACTGGAAAAAGGTAAGTTTTTACCCCTTTCCCCCTTCCAGAGCCGGGCGGGAGGGGGTCCCTGAGGGTGGGGGCACCCTCAGGGCACTATAGTGCCAGGAAAACGAGTATGTTTTCCTGGCACTATAGTGGTCCTTTAAGCAGCAAGTGAACAGTCAGTTCTTGAATTTCATCTGTTGGATGCCGAGAAAACTCACTTTGAAAAGGGCTAACTAGTGATGGATACATACCTGGGTTTGAGTATCTCTAAACCTGCAAGTTTTGTTGGGTGTTCCCAGTGTGCTGTGGTTAGTACCTACCGAAACTGGTGCAAGGAAGGACAACCGGTGAACCAGCTTAAGTGTCATGGGTGCACAAGGCTCATTGATGCATGTGGGGAACAAAGGCTAGCCCATCTGGTCCTATGGCACAGAAGAGCTACTGTAGCTCAATCTACTGAAAAAATGTAACGCTGGCCATGATAGAAACGTGTCAGAAGACACAGTGCTTCACAGTTTGCAACGTATGGGGCTGCATAGCCAGAGAGCGGTCAGAGTGCCTATGATGACTCCTGTTCCACCACCAAAAGCACCTTTATGGGGACATGAGCATCAGAACTGGACCATGGAGCAATAGATGCAGGTTGCCTGGTCTGCTGAATCATGTTTTCTTTTATATCAATTGCATGACCAGGTGCATGTGCGTTGTGTACCTGTGGATATGGTGGCAGGATGAACTATGGTAAGAAGGCAGGCCAGCGGAAGCAGTGTTATGCTCTGGGAAACCTTAATTCCTGGCAGTAATGTGGATGTTACTTTGACATATACAACATATCTAGAAATTGTTGCAGACCACACACACCCCTTCGTGGCAATGGTGTTCCCTGATGGCTGTGACCTCTTTCAGCAGGATAGTACACCTTGAGATAATTGTTCACTGCAAAAATTGTTCATGAGGTTAAAGCAGCACTGTAACCCCCCTAAAAAAAGAGAGATTCTTTATGAAATACTCATATTGACTGTGTTGGAATTTCACTAAAATGGAGATGCTGTGTCACCAGTTGCACTTTTACTGGTGTGAAGACCAGATGCCGTACTTAGGGGTTTGGATCACATCTGATCTGACCCTTTTATACCATAAAATCCACCTGACACTCCTCTGTACAAACACACCTTAAGTGCTGGGCATATGCCCACATTTCACGACTTCACGATATCTTAAAAATAAATATCTTGCCAAGACTCCTATTCCTTGTCCTACAGAAGGTATTTAAAAAAAAAAAAAAATTTAAATTTTTTAAAATCAATGATGACTGCGTACATGTGGAGGGGGGGGAGTGAAATCCAGAATTCGATATGATGATCTCTGTCTACCAAGAATATCTTTTGCAGGGTGTTACCTCTTGGCCACCCTGCAAGTGATGGTGGAGGGCAAGTCTCTCTTGATACTAAACAATGGCCGAAGTTAGACACGGAAATTCGAGTAGCACCGCTGCCTTCAGTGGTGTGGAATCTCTTCATGGAACTGCTGGATGGTGTTCCACGCAAGTCACCCTTGGCCGAGACCTTCAAAACATGGCTTTCAGTCCAAAGATCCACACTGATATCCTCAACACCGGGACTACTGCCCCTATCGCAAAATACAAACATAGCCAGAGGGCTGACGGCTGGGAAAGTTCAATACCTTGGAGTTGGGTCCCTCATTCATCTCAGACAGGTGCTTGGCAAGAATGACATAAAGAGCCTTGCCGATTGGTAGAGGACCGCTATGGAGGGATACCTGTACTTACAAAATCCAAAACTTTTGATCACAATTTCCTTTAGAGGGAGGCAATGCATAGAAGCCTGTCATGGCATGAGAGTCTGTGCGTGAGAGTGCCGAAAAAGAGAAGGCCATCTCTGGTTTGTACCAGTATTTGCTGTCGGAAGGCAACAAGGAACAATTCAGGTTTAAACGGGGGTGGGAGAGTATTCTGGGCATGAACTTCACAGATGATTAATGGAGTAAGGTACTGATTTTACATTCTAAAAGCTCTCTTAGTTCAAGGTACCATTAGGTCAACCAGGGCCGGACTGGGAGAAAAATTCGGCCGGGCATTTTTTTAACACAGCGGCCCACTAAAAAGGGGGCGGGGCAGAGGAGGTGTGTTTTGTCATCACCAATGACAAACACGCCCTTCTCTCAAAGTGAGCATGTTGGTTCAATGCTCTTCCAGGGCAGACCATGCGCAGAGCTCTGCTGAAGAGCTCTAGCATGAGAAAAAAGTCCTGTATTTGTTCTGCACAGTGCAAGCAAAATTAATAACATGCTTGCACTGTGTTTCCTTGCAACTTGTCTCTGGTGTCTTTATAAATGGATACCAGGAGACAAAAGGCCAGGGAAGAGTATTGTGCATATGTTTGGAGCCTGCTTGTGGTATTGCGTGTGTGTAGAGTGAGCTGGTCGTGGTGTGGTATTGTGTAATAAGGTCGGTTTTAGTCGTGTTGTGTTTGTGGTGTAATGTGATGCATATGTGGCTCAGGGACCCCCTCCAGCCCGGCTCTGGAAAGGGGTTAAAACTTACCTTTTCCAGCGCCGGGCGGGGAGCTCTCCTCCTCCGATCCGCCCCGTCGGCTGAATGCGCACGCGCGGCAAGAGCTGCGCGCGCATTCAGCCGGTCGCATAGGAAAGCATTTATAATGCTTTCCTATTGACGCTTGCGTGCTCTCACTGTGATTTTCACAGTGAAAAGCACGCAAGCGCCTCTAGCGGCTGTCAATGAGACAGCTGCTAGAGGCTTTGGGGGAAGACTTAACCCATTGATAAACATAGCAGTTTCTCTGAAACTGCTATGTTTATAAAACAATGGGTTAACCCTAGAAGGACCTGGCACCAAGACCACTTCATTAAGCTGAAGTGGTCTGGGTGGCTAGAGTGGTCCTTTAAGAGTATAGTGTGTGTGTGTATGTATATGTATATATATATATATATATATATATATATATATATTTGGAAGTATTGTGTATGTGTGTGGTGCAGTGTGTTGGGGGGGTTCTGTGTGTATGTGAGGGGTGCAGTATGTGTGTGTGAGGGGTGCGGTGTGAGAGTGCTGTGAGTGAGGGGTGCGGTGTGAGAGTGCCATGTGTGAGTGATGGGTGTGAGAGTGTTGTGTGAGAGTGCTGTGTGAGATGGATGTGAGAGTGCTGTGTGTGATGTGTGTGAGAGTGCTGTGTGTGAGAGTGCTGTATAAATGTTATTGTGTGTGTGTGTGTGTAGGGGGGGGGTAAATAAAAAAAAAAACA